TCCGTTCGCGTTATTGTGTGCCTCTTCGCGCTAATGATAATGCTTTTTCGCTTGAATGAATATTCCTTTGCGGTTAATGAACAGCAAAAGGTGTAATGTACTGACAACATTTTGTCAACAGAGATCCATTAATTGATATAATTATACAGCTTCTCATTAATTGGACAGGTCTTGTTGATATGGAATTAATTAGGCAGCTATATAATTAATAAGTAATAGGATTTCATGCTCCCCAATCGAGAAATAATTAGACTCGAAAAATTCCTCTGACTGCCAAATTGGACTCGGCTTACGGCCTAATCCAATTTTGTCAGTCCTCGGAATTTTCCTCGTCCAATTATTTCTTAATTGGACAGCATGGAGTCCTATTACATGTACAAATTGCAGTCCTTTGTATTTTAAACAAAACTTTTAATTCTTTATATAGTGGTAGGTTACTTGATTCGTGTTTTCGTGTACCGTAAATGATTCTGATATGGAAGACAATCTTATTATCTGCCACAGATCAATTAATTGTTTGATTATGGGAAGCACGGGTGGCGTGCGCTGCTAATGCGCCGCCTCTCACCAATGCGGAGCGAGTTCGAGTCCTGTCGATGTCGTATGTGAGTAGAGTTGTTTGTTGGTTCTCTCCTGTGCTTCGAGGGTTTTTCTCCGGGTTGTCCGGGTTTTCTTCGCTCCTCAAAAATCAACTCCTAAATTCTAATTCGATCTTTGGGCTTTCACTTAGTTTGGAGCCTAGCTCTGTTGTGATTGTCCCACGCTGTGATACGACATTCATTATCATATGAAGAAGAAAATATCCTTTTTGTTACACTGGAATTTTTTTTTCTATTCTTTTCAAAAAAAAAGGTGGATGAAAATCGATTAACATAGCACCAAGAATTATTTGTTAGAAAGAATTCGAAATGAGAGACATGGTTTTTGTCAGTCAAAAACTGGCTAAACATTCACATCAACCAATGACGTGCTTGAATTAGAAATCCGGCGTTAATAACGCTTTCTATTTCTATCGTGTCTGCACACTCGTCTATCTTATCCAAAAAGCTGCTAAATTACTATCAAGAGAAGATCCCGTCCAAGCAAAGTGCTTGACGAAGCCGCTAAAGCCATATTTTTCGAGTGCATGTTACGTCATAGCCGCCATGCTGGTTGACGTTAACAAAGCATTCCTCGTTAACTTCTCTTGTTAGATCATCCAACATGGCGGCTGTTTTATATCTATATTTATATCTGGAGGGATTTTGAGTTGCACCCCAAGAACACTTGCCATGGTAGTTTCTATATAAATAAACTACATGATTGTAAAGAAATTTCAACCACCGGCCCTCTACCATCACCTAAGATTTACCTGATAATCTCTTACAGCTCACAGAGAGCCTGGCATTTAGATCTTGCAAAGCTTCCCATTCGTGAGGATCTGCCCTTGGCACAGTGTTCTTGGGTGATGAGCTGAACGAGCGATCACAGCTGATCAGATTCGACAAACATTTCAAAGACAAAAAACTAAAATGGAATAGTTAATTACCTTCCCACAGATGGAGCTTCCGTATCAGTTTGCGCACGCTGATATTCAATAAAGAAGGATCGAAAAAATTGACGTAAGAAAATCAGTTGAGTGGGAAGGATTTCGTAAACACCCCTTGCATTGATTTCCTAAAGGATCTAGGAATCGTTCTGGGGGACAAAACAATATAGACCGACTTTTCTTATGCAGAAAAACAATCCATTGCTTTGTTCTCCAGAACAATTTCTCTCGGGACTACTCAATACAAGGGGGTCTATTATAAGAATCTATTAAGCCTGGTTTTCACTAGCGACGGAAGCAGAAGCGGAAGCAGAAGCAGAAGCGTAAGACGTCTTATGTTCCTGTGAAAATCAAAAAACAGAGACGTAAGCAGAAGCAGAACATCGACGGGAGCATAAGCAGAAGGAACGGAAGGTTTCCTTTTTCTTATGCTTATGCTTCTCCTTCCGTCCTTATGTCGCTAGTGAAAACCAGATTCTTATGCTTCCGTCGCTAACATACAGAAGCACAAGGTGGTGAGCCAATCAAATTATCGTACTCAGTCCCCTTCACGGGAAACTTCCTATTGTTTTTATGTTTCCGTCACATTCATTTACACTAGAACATAACGATATTGTGCTTATGCTTATACTCATGCTTATGCTTCTGCTTCTGTCGCTTATGTCGCTAGTGAAAACCAGCCTTTAGTATGGCAGCTAGATTTTCCGAATGACCTCTTTTGTCAGTGACAACTGTGAATAACATAAAAGGAAATCTTAGTATAGAGACTTTATTTCATGAGGGCGACACATGACAGTAACTAAAATCGCTGAGAACCGAGTGGCTCTCAAACTACAAAAGTTAAATAATCATATACTTTGTTTTTAACCATACAATTATTTCATGTCAGCTGGTTAGATGACAAACTAAAACCAATATAAACCAATTATTTTGTGAGGCGATTCACTCCAGAACGTGCTGCCAAATTGTTGCCTTTTTGGGAACGTCGTTGTAAAATTAGCAATGTCGTAAGCTGAAGAAACAGAGATTTTTTAGTCCCCGTCCACACTATGCCGGATAAATTTGAATCCGAATTTTTATTTATTCGGTTAGGCCTACCGTCCACACTAGTCCGGGCGAATCCAGAACAATTCTTCACCGAAAACGAATTTTCGAAATGGAACCGAATAAATAAAAATTCGGATTCAAATTTATCCGGCATAGTGTGGACGGGGCCTAAGTCAACACGTAAAAAGAAAAAAGACGTAAAATAAGTCATATGCACTTGGTAAATGGGGCAAGGAAATTGGTGCACACGAGCAGATGAATATAAGTCTTTTGAAATCCCTTGTGATTCAGTATCCCACGCCATGACCAATATTTCCCACCCTTCAAGTATGGCATAGACCTCGAGACCTTCTGTCTCAAGAACCTGTAACCATGATATCTAAAATAGTGTCCATTGTACGGCCGGCGGCCCGTGCCAGTGATTTTAAAGATTCATCAAGTTTCATAATGCGGCTTTTATTGAACTGATTATAATCGATTAATAGTTAGAAGAGGTATGTAGGTGTTGGTGGAACCACAAAAGGCTAATTGGAAAGTATCAGCGGATATAATCCTACAACCAGATTAATTGCCTTTTAAAAATTCTCGTGAATTGTATTGAATTGCGGCCAACATGACCAACAGATAGAAATAATACTTTCCAAAAATACACATTTCTGCTTGCTTTTTCTAATGGTGATGTATATTTTTAAAGATTATTTTTCTCAAAGATTTCTCAAAGTCAAGGGCGGCCATTATTGACTGATTCAGTCTGTAGAATCCTAAAAAGGATTCACCATAGACCATGCCATAGACCCTATGAAAAACGAGCGGAAGACTGGGAACGACCACCACGAACAATCAATGATTTTGAGAATATTTTTTCATTACAGGAAAGACCATGTCTAAATTAGTAAATTCAGAAAGTTCGGTTGTCATATATTAAATCCCTGAACAGTTATGAGCATTTGAAGTGTACCAAAAACATGATAGCGATGCTGGTAGGCCCTTGGTTGTTGTTTCCATACAAACCTTTCTAATTTCAAACAGCTGTAGCTTTTTATCATTTAATGTTACTACAATAAAACTTTGGAAGATCTCTAATTTCTATATACTATTTCTAATAAAAGCATTGTCGTCTCCTATAACTGATGAACTAAGGTATCTCAAGGGACGCTCCCTTTTTCATATGGTCTATGACGTTTGTCATTATCATCGATGTAGTAGTGAGAGTCTCAGTCATAGCTAGTGCATGCGGTTTCAGCTCTAATTCCGCAGGAATTCTTTCCGAATGAGACGTGCAAAGAATCATTCATAATAAAACATAATATTTAGAATTTCTCAAGCATTTTCGCTTTTTTTTGTCAAAGAAAAATATTTAATTTATCTACAGCGGGGCCTGAATTTTAGTATAGTGGCGTGACGTTCACATGCCATGCACTAGGTATTATAAAAAATAGACGATAAAACAAACATTAACCGCTACGACCATCGTACTGCCATGAACAACCACGATAGCGAACATGAGATTAAGAAAATGAACCACCTTGAACCATGTACACCGACCAGGCTAAAAGATATCGGGGTCTCTTAGAGGCGAGGCTAAAATTTCAGGGTCTTTCTTAGTTAGCAAGCTTTTTATTTTATTCTGTGTTAGGGTTTTTGTTTTGTCAGGGTATTGTTTAGCTCGAAATTCGTTAGAGTGGTGTTCATAGATCCCTGAAATACACAGTAGTACTTACACTCTAATTCTTTTGTTTTCTATTGTGTTGACCCGACTATAGTATTACATCTTAATTAATTAGTATGCTTTGTTTCACGGGTTCATGAAAACCACTCTATTCTTGGCTATTGCTTTTTATTGTCTTCGTGCTTAAGTTGCCTTGCAACACTAAGATATACGTTCTCAGAGATGCTCTTCTCAAGCCACTTCTGTGCAGTATAAAAAGAGGAGTGCGGGAAAGGCCTAGTGCTAGTCTCCTAGCACAAACTAAAGGTTCGTCGTGCGAGTGTATTCTGTGTCCTCAATGATGTGTTTTGACCATGAAATTCTAGATAACAAGAATCTGAATCCTTGGGAACCCAGAATTACTAGAATCAATATTTAAAGAACTCTCTAGCTAGTAGCAATAACTATATATTCAAATAACTCTCTAGTAGCGATAGTTATATGCTTTGAAGTGGTTATTTTCCTTTAACCAAGCAAACCATCATGGCCAGCGCTAGGTTTTTGACCACACCCAATTTCTGACTCTCGCCCACATGCCATCAATACACTGCTCCAATCGCTCTACACAACTGTTTGCTCGATGTAGACAACCACATCCATAAAATATTTATGAGCATCCCATACTCGATAAATCGTACGAAACACAAATTATCAGGAATTTGAGGTATGAATCATAATACTGCGGTAAAACAAAGTAAAGTAATAAATCTTTAAATTGACTAAGCGCAGAACAATATACAATCTTATTCATAATTGAGAACTTAAATCTGTTTTAAGTACTTCATTTTGACCACACTAGCCTGTAGAATGTTCTTAGGTTGAAAAGTCGTACTCGCGGCCGTGATTTCATTACTTTGATATTTCAAATATTCATGTTGACGCCTCTGTAGCAACACTGATCTTTGACCATGCTAGAGGAACAAAAAAGGGAACAAAAGATTTGCCCTAATTCACTATGACGTCACTGCTTGTTTATGTGGAGGATAGAATCGCCAAATCCAATAGAAAATTCAACAAAATTTGCTCCTAGCGAAACAGTTTTATCTAGAATGGCCTGGTTTTCAGATATGATATGTGTTTATATGCACATAAAAATATTCTGATCGTTTGCTGGTTTAGCCTGCGTCACATCCGGAATTTTCTTCGTAAAAGAAGAAAATTCCGGATGTGACGCAGGCTATTGCTGGTTATTCTACTTCTCTTCGTGGATTGATACGGGTTTTAGAACAATTTTAAACAAATGAGTGATAATCACATGGAAATGACACGTGACTTGAACTGGAAAAACTTTACGCGCAAGAGATCTAAGGAGGTCTATAGACAGACCCCTTGCAAGTGACGTCAAAGCAGCTCGATCTGGAGGACAGAACAAAAGACTTTCAATCTCCTAAGCATTTGAACCTATTTTTTTGTGCCCCAGATTGAGCTATATTCCAAAATGCTGTAAGCTTCCTTTCCATTTCTTGAGGCGGTCTAATGTAAACATACATGTGCCTGCGCGAATATGAAATTCAGGGAATTGAATTATGTGATCATGACCTTTTAGTCGTACTGTTTTCCCATTTTAGACGACCGCACGTCATTCCCTTGAGATCAAGATTCTTTGCTTGAATGATATCCACATTCATGTGGCTATTCCTGTGTCTTCTCATGCACAACCCGCGTTAGAATAAGAAATGATACTCATGGAAATGACACGTGATTTGAATTCCATTTGAAATTAGTTTGAAAATTACGCACAAAACTAAGAGGGTCTATACGAGACTTTCATAACTGGCTGCTGCTAATTTGCATAAACATTAAAAATCAATGTTTTTGGAGTGAAAACCCTTTTAAATCATTGATCTTGTTGATTTAGATAAGGCGTGTGACTTTCTACCTAAATTAATAAATCCTTTACAAGATGTGAGCAAATGCACCAAGGCTTCCAGTGATAAATACATACAAAACTCTCTATTTTCGTTCTTTCATAACTTCTTTGGTATGCAGTCAAATTCTACAAAATTTTCTGGAAATAGTTTTCGTGACGTATTTATTCAGATAGCATTAATAGTTTCTGGTAAAAAGTTTTCATTTTCTCTATCTGAAAAAACTGAGTTATGAAAGTCGTCTATTCACGATCGCATCATCTTTTGCATCGTTTTCGAGGTTGGCTGATGTACAGACACGTGCCTGCGTGAGCATGAATTCCGGGAATGGAATTATTTGACCTTTTCTTCGATCGATCGATAAAGAATCAAATAATTTATAAGGAGGAGGAGCTATTTCATCAATTGAGAGCAAAACAAGGAAAAGATTTACCGAAGACACTCCAATGATCTCCCGCAATCAGACCACACATGGTGTGGTGGAAAAAACGTGTATCCATCTGGGCAAAACTTTAGCCAACTGTTGCTGGGGGATATGGGTATATATAGAGGTTAAGGAATCGGCTAGATGTGTTCAAAGTCACAAAGTACATCAACAAATCGTGTCGGCACTACTGGAACTCTAAACACTAAAATGGCTTGTACTCGTCTTTTTGTTCTTCTCATTATTGGATCCTTGTTGCTGTTTCAAGCTTCTGCGTTCTTTGAAGACGTTCTCGAGGAACGTGAAGGTAAGTCATCAGTACGTTTCTCTAATTCATCCATCCATCCATCCATCCATCCATCCATCCATCCATCCATCCATCCATCCATCCATCCATCCATCCATCCATATAATTTAANCCATCCATCCATCCATCCATCCATCCATATAATTTAAGGATTTAAGGATTATGAACTCTGCACCAACAAATATTAGTAATGATCTTTACATTTGATATATTCTTGATTATATCTTTATATATATTCATGCATGTTTTTAGCACAGCTTCTAAGGAGACCATAATTTGTAATTTATTGTAATAATAATAATTAATAATTTAATCACTTATTGTGCGCGCATTCCATACAATGATCATGCGCGCATTACAATAATGATATAATGTAATATATAAAACTATATAACTATTTACAAATAAGATGAATAAATATATATTGATAAATTCTAAAAAACTATCAAAATGCTAATTTAAAAAGGTGGGTTTTAAGATGGCGTTTAAAAATTGTAAATTGTGATAGAAGCACCGTGGTTAAATAAAGTTACTATACTCTGTAAGCTTCGTACTGACGATACGTGTGTTCATTTAGCAGGGTGTAGAAATAAATATGGCTCAAACATTTGTGGAGAGGTATGTGTTTTTTTTACAATAACAGAGCGTATTCTCGCAATATGATTGGCTGACAGCTATTCTCAATAAGAGTACAGACACAGAATGACGAATCTCTCTAGAACGGATTCAGCGCGCGCTTGAAACCGTTTTTCTTTGAAATTTTTTCCTTGCTTCTAAATCGCTCATAGATTTCCATTGTCTGTCCTCTTATTGAACATAAATGACGTCTTAACATTTTCAGAACTTTACATTGAAACCACTCACTGCCATGGCTCGGGCTTCCACTTTGTACATTTTAAAACGTCATCTATGATCGATAAGAGGACATGCAGACAATGGAAATCTATGAGCGATTACTTAAATAGATTAGCATTTATTAGGTCGGTGTACGATAACGATTTTATTTTGCAATAACGCCAAGTATAACAAAACATATTGTTAAATTGGCTTGGACATTACATTACGATGGTGTTTATACTTCCACCTATATGATTTAATTTGATAGAATTTGATTGATGTCAAGTAATGGGAAATCCTTAGCTATAGTTTGCTGCTACATAAAATCATTTTGAAAACAACGACACTCGAGGACAGCACCCCCCTTAGTACTACCTCCTCTATTAAAGTTGTACGATGCCAATACGCAAAACTTCATATTAATTAATCTTATTTCGTAGGTCATTAAAGAAGAACATTGCTTAAAGCCTGATTCACGAATGGGCAAATTTGCAAAGAACAATTGCCCTAAATTCTGTAATTTTTGCTGATATAGGTAACAAATAGTTCCAGGTGCTGCTAAACTATGCAGTTTCTGCCTTGCAACTTTTCTCGCATGCAATTTTGCAGCGAGATGTTGCCTGCACAATAAATTCCCTTGTGTAACAACCTACTGTTCAACGTCATCGCATTTTTTAGCTATTCCAAGGTTGAGGGAAAACTGGGTAGAGTTGACATTGCAGTACTTTGTGGAACTATTCTTGGGGACATATTTCCGAGATGGCGGCTATTTCGTCCCCAAAAACAGCCCCATAATGCACCGCAATGCCAACTCGACCGAATTTCCCCTCGACCTTCGGCTAATGATTTCATCGCAGAAACTGCGAGACGAGTTGCAAGGAACATTGTATGGTGAAACAGCACCTTATAGACAGTTATTATGAAAATGGATGTCAAGTATAACTAGCTAATATAACAGAAAAAAAATTCAAGGGGGGAAAAAAAAAAAAAAAAAAAAAAAAGAAAAAGAAATTGCAGTTGCTTTGGTTAATTTTGTCGAGCAAATCCCCAGGGGAGGAGTGTGGGAAGCTCATCAAAAGACAGATGGAATTAAGTCTCCTAGCTGTTCCACCCAAAACCTCAGGTGCATGCGGACATTTTTTGTAGGGGGGAGGGGGTGGGGGAAGTATATATAGTCCCTTGTCTTCTACTCGGCCCTTATACACTACTCTTTAATACTACATACTTCATTTATTTTTCAGGCTCACAAAAGGCCACAAGCAAAAGTTTAAATGATTTCAACATGACAATTGACAATGAAAAGAAGGAACTGTTTGCTGCTAAATGATATGTACATCAAATGTTACTGATTAAAATAGGGATAACTAGAGTATAAGCTGATGATTGAACTTAATTTTGTAAGAGAAATGAAACATTAGAATAAAAGAGGATTGGAAAAGTAAAAATGTTTTTATATTACTATATACATATATATAAGACAACAACAACAGGCTGCTCCCTCCCCTCCCCCCAAGTTATAAAGTGTTTCGTCGTCCCTGCTCTTACATGCATAACATGGATTAATCAATTTTGAAAATAACAAATTGAGAAAAATTCCTATATAAGAAATGAAATTTTCCACAAATATTTAAAAAGTCTAATCGCAAGAGAGGTTTTTCCGATAATATTTCTTTTTCCTTCTATCTTTTCTTTTCCCAAAAGAGACGATCACGTGGTATACTTAAGCACGCCATTAAAGGGAGAGAGGATCTGGAACCAAATTCGTGCAGATTTTCGTGTGATTTCGTTACGAGAAGTCATCAAAGAAACGTTTTCTAAATAATATACTAAGTTTTCCATCTGCTTCCCGTACGTCCAAGATCACCAATAACTTCAATTGCACCGTCCCTCGAGAGTTATACCTACGATTGCCAGGGATTTAGTAAAGGAAGCATGTCTTCCCCGAGACCGGTTACACCATGTATTGTAGTACACGGAGGTGCAGGTCAGCTGTCAAACCCGAGCATCTTTCCTATGCTTATAATCGGAGTGAAAAAAGCAGCTAGAGCTGGCTACGATATCCTCATGCGAGATGGAGAAAATGCTGCAGTGGATGCAGTCGAAGCAGCCATCAAGGTGGGCTAATTTTCTCGGTGTTTTTTGTAGCCGGTGTTCTTATTCGAACAGCGGGGGATTCAGTGTAGCTATGGTACTTTTAGTCGTCGTCCTCGTGTAAAATTTTAAAAAGACGTTAAAAAAATATAAAACAACCTTACTTGATATTAATATACTTCGTACTCTTAATCATAATATTTATACATTGTTATATAAAATTTCTCTGAATCTATGATGGTTTATTAAGGCGGCTTCAGCTGCGTTAAACAGCGGCCATGTTCTTTCGGCGTTCATTTTCGAACATGACGAACAGCTGTTTTGTCAGTTTGTCTAATTTCTGTGAAAAAAAATTGTCTTAAAAAATACTACATACTCATACTGTATACTCATATACTAAGCTTATAAAGAGAGGCAAACGATTATTTAAGAAACCAGATATATTGGGGAAAATTTTACATGTAAAGGAATAAAGCTAAAAGAAGATAAATGCACTCAGAATTAAGAAATTAGTCGAGGATCGAATCTGGTGGGAAAATGATAAATTGGGCTTATGCTCAAGTTCTTCCTGTCTTTAGCAAAATGGCCAAGAAATAGTTTTTTCCCCGGTCTTTAATTCAAATCCACACACATGATTGTGGCGAAGATGTGAAGTGTTCCTCGTAAAAAGTGAAGTATTTACTGTTACGTAGTTATTTCAATATTTTACAACAGCGCTATAACAATTACGAACCACCTTTTACCCTACATCGAGCGGATATTGTACATACTGTGCAATTGTTAGAAAAGAACATTGAAATGTTTTTTTTCTTGGTTTTATTTTAAGTCCCTTCCGGTTAAGAATTTTAGGAATTTCAGTTTATTACGGAAACTCAGTCCTAATCTGTCTTTTTTTGAGGTGCATGTTACGTCATAGCTGCCATGGTTGACTATACAAAGCATTCCTCATAAGTTTCTCTTGTGAGATCAACCAAGATTGTGGCTGTTTCATTGTTATTTATGCCTCAAGAAATTTTTGGTCAAATGTGATTGCACTCCAAGAATTCTGAGCTTTGTTTTGACTCTTGTTATGGCTATGTCAAAAGATTATTTTTGTTATTGTCATATACCAATTTAAAACCCATCAGGTTTGAAAAGCGGTTATTAATCCAATTCGCACTGGGATTATAACTTATTTTTTGCTATAAAGCAATTTGATGTCTGTCCTATGAATGGTATTCTGTAGAATCCCAAATATAAGCCCTAGGCTTATGAGAATTGATGTTTTTTGTTGGGCTTATAGCCAGGGTAGGGGGCTTGTAACGGGGGTAGGGGGGCTTAAGGGGAAGAGAAAATAATATGTTAAACCAAAGCTAATAAGACAGGCCTGTTGCTAGGGGTGGTTGGATGGCTTGTAGGAGTTTGAAATAATGTTTAGCACTTTTTTAGTTTTCAAGAAATGGTATGACTAAGATTGGTAGAAAAACCAACCTCTCCTCATCCTAGTGACGGGCTGGTAAAACATTACATGTGTCTATGATAAACTGACTTAATTGACCTCTTTGCTCATGTCTACCCGAATAACACGATTCAAACAATTAGTTTATAGTTTATTGAGGGTTGACTTCATATGATGATTCGGTTCCTCCCTGTCGACACCCCTTCATACCTTGTATTTGTGAATAAAGTGGTTATCAATAAATAAAATGCCTACTAATATCCTTGAGTGGTTTCCTAATTATTGCTTCTTTAAAGTGTATATGACACGAAATCATTTCATCGTTTGAAATGTATAGTTTGTTAATAATGATAAATATATCTTAATAAAATTTGTTTCAAAAGCTTAATTCTTGAGATACGTGAGAAAATTAAGCCCAATTTGTGACATCATTTTGTTGACACGTACTCTAGATTCAGTAGTAATGTACTAAATATAAATTGTAATTCATACAAAATGACGACGAAAGGCATATTGTATTCAGCTTCATTTGATAGCTTATGTAGTACTCTTCAAATGTTGGGAAACTGAAAAGGGTACTACCTGAAATTAAGATTCTACATTCAAACATATTTCGTGTATTTGCAACTAAATCTGGAGACTTGTAAACAAAATGACGTCACAACTTGTGCTAACGTTTTTGAAACGAATTTAACCGTGATATTCTTATTAATGACAATAAACTACACATTTTTAACATTAAAATTTTTTCATGTCATATGCAATTTAATGTTTTTTTGTTTTGTTTTGAAATCCCAAGGTAATGGAAGATGATTCCAACTTTAATGCTGGACATGGTTCTAAACTCAATACCAGAGGAGAAGTTGAGATGGATGCGATGATAATGGATGGTCGAGATCTGAATTATGGTTGGTTTACGTTTTCAATGGTTTTCTGTGTGCCAAAAAAGTAAACTATTTAGTAATATATTAAGAGAATAATATAGAATTTGTAGGATACAAGAAAAAAATAAACCTTTGGGTTAAATGATAGCTCTTGCCTGGCGATAAAAATATTTGAGCATAATATAGAAACAGCAAGTAAATAAAATTGGAATTTTAATTCAAAAAAATATTTAAAATTATTATGCAAAAGGCTGTTTATTAAAAGTTTATTTGAATTGATAGAATAGCAAGTATTAAAAAGGTCATAGATTTTTGCATGTTGAAAGGACAAAAAGTGTTATCTTTAACTTAATATAAAGCCCATGAGTTTGAGAAATTTTGAGTACAATCCATGTTTTCACAGCTTCCTAAATTGCTGTACTTAAAACTAACGGCAGCCAAATCTGTTTAAACTTGAAATAGTTTTCTGAGCACAAACAAAAATGCTTTTCTAGGTGGAGTTGGTGGTATAAGTAACATTGCAAATCCCATATCTGTGGCCCGCAAGGTTATGGATGAATCATCTCATTGCCTTCTCATTGGAAATGGAGCCAATCAATTCGCTCAAGAGAAGAACTTTCCACAGATACCAAACCATCAGCTCATTACAGAATCCAGAAGGAGACAGCTGGCTAGAGCCTTGGAGGCAATGGAACTTGTAGAAATGAGTGAAGATGAATCTGAGAGTGATATAGAAGAACCGATAGAAGTCCATAAAACAAAGAAACAGCTTAAGAGACAACAGAGCAAAGCAGAGATCTTAAAAATGGTAATTTTTTGTTATTTGAACCAGGGATACATTGATTATGTATGGTTCCAGAAAATATCCATTCACTAATAGGGATCAAAATTTTGGATTCATTAGCTAATGATAGAAGATTAGCTTTTAATTGGATAGAAATAATAACAAAAACAAAGGTTATGGTTATGTATGGTTCCAGAAAATATCCATTCACTAA